GAAGGAAGGGCCTAGAGGGATCAAGAGAAGACCAAGGGAGTTCAAGTTTGTGCATCATTTGCAGTTCCCAGAAGGTATAAAGTCGGTACCTTGCTTGTTCATTTGCTAGATCCCTTTTTGGGGAGATTTAGGGCTTTTATAAGCCATTCTTGGTAACCAACCATGATTGCAAGCATGGTTGGGGGTTGAGGCTTCAGATCTAGGTCCATGAAGGAGTTACAAGGCAGAAAAGGGCTGCTTTTGCACCCATGGAAGCCCCCATGCAAGTAAAGTTCGTAACTTTACGTGCTAGATCGAGTTTAGGGACCTAGATCTATCTTTTGGACAAAAGTTGTACACCATAAATCGAAGAAATAGCCTTGGACAGTATCGACTCGACGAGTCGTTCTTGGGACTCGGCGAGTCCGAGGTTAGACTCCCCTTTTCTGTTATGGGTCAAAGAGACCCAGTGGAGTGCTGGAAAGGTTTTAGAGGGTCCAGGGGAGTGACCCAACGTATTGGGCTAAGCCATAGTCCTGGAGTTCATAGGACTCGGCGAGTGCATGAACAGGCTCGGCGAGTCCAAGGCAATCTCCCAACTCTTGAAGATGAGCTCGACGAGTTGTTCATAAAACTCGGCGAGTCGAGGACGGGACTGGTTCTTAGGATGAGGATGAACTCGACGAGTTGTTCATACAACTCGACGAGTCGGATGAAGGTTCATTTGATGCTCGTATAGAAGGAGAACTCGTCGAGTCATTCCTAAACTCGACGAGTAGAGACGTGTATGAGGACAGTTAAAAGGTTAGGGACTCGACGAGTTGGCGGCCCAACTCGGCGAGTCAGGTCAACTGGAAGTTGACTTTGACTTTGACTTTGACTTGGACTTGGTCAGGGGTAAAATAGTCATTTTACCCTAAGAGTAGATATCAGATTCTGACTGAGTGTTTTATGGGGATTATAGCTGGAGGATTTCCGGAGCAGCAGCAGACAAAGATTTCCCGCACAGATTATCAGCAGCTACTCGTACGAGGTGAGTTACCTTCCAGTAGCGGTGGGTCTACGACCACAATGCCGGCCCACCAGTAGGAGCTGTATGTTAGATGATCGTCTTTGTGATATCATCTAGGTTTGCTATTACCTGATATGTTGTATGCTGGCATGATATGTTATATGTGATAGTAGTAGAGTTCGGCTGTTAGGACCGAAGGGTAGGTCAGGCACCCCAGATATGTCTGACAGTATGTGATGATATGTTTATATGTTGGCATGATATGTTATATGTGATAGTGGTAGTAGGAGGGGAATAGTCCCCGAGGGTCGGTTGTTAGGACCGACGGGTAGGTCAGCACCCCAGAATGGCTTGACATGGGTAGGTCGGCACCCCAGAATGGCCGTACCGGGTAGGTCGGCACCCCAGAATTTCCCGGCAGTATGTATGTTATATGATTGTATGGTATGTGGTACGATTGGGGGAACTCACTAAGCTTCGTGCTTACAGTTTACAGTTTTGGTTTCAGGTACCTCTTCAGCGAAGGGGAAGGAGCTGGCACGGTAGCGGCACATCATACACACACGCATGGGTTTCCGCACTTGAGATATTCTGGGATTGTACTCTGACATGTTACTACTTTGTGATTTGGGTTTTCAGACATGATATATCAATTTACGAAATGATATATTTTTACGTAGTTTTCTTATGAATGTTTCTATAATCAATTAATTAAAATGAAATTTTTGGACTCAAAATTTGGGATGTTACAAATGTATTAGAAAGTTGATGATTGTATCACAAGTATTGGAATAAAAGTTCTTTTCACTCTCATGTCTTTCTTTACTCTATAATTTATCTTATTATTTGATCATATTTTATAACACGTTATCAACACGACTCTACCATAGAGCTCTAATCCTTATTACTCTTGTCATTTCCATGTATGTATTTTTTTTATAAGTAACACATGTACGATGCTTATAACTTATTTTAGGGAATTTCTGAACTAACAATTTCTTAACATACAAGTCTTTATTTTGATTAGTATTTTCACTATGGAAAACCATGATAGAGAAAACTTTCTCTACTTTTTATGCCACTAACATGCTCATGCAACAGCAATATCCTGAGAAAAGTTTTTTAAAAAAATCTAAATTAATCTCATGTCTTCTTGTGGCTAAACAAAATAATGAACTATTGATGAAAATCACCAATCACGCCCGACCGGTTCTAGTCCATTCCCTGAAGTGAATGCAACATCATATAATCATAATAACCATGGGTCTAACCGAGGTCGTGGAGGTTGTCATAATTATTGTAACAATAATAACAAGATTGCAAGTAACCATCAGAATTTGGAAAATAACAAAAAGCCACATCCTAATGATAAAAGTGGTCAAGGCAAAAAGAAAGTTGAAAATATTTGTCACCGCTGTGGAATGACCGGTCATTGGTCTCGTACATACCGCTCCCCAAAGCATTTTGTTGATCTTTATCAAGCTTCTCTAAAATCTATAGAAAAATAAAATATCGAGACAAATTTTATTCAAAATGGTTTTCATGAAGATCAACCACAAACGATACATTTTGATGTTGTCGATTTTCTTGTCTACCCGAAAGGGACAAGTGGTGTTATGTATGGTGATGGAAGAATAATATGTAGTTTTGTTTCATGAGAAATGATGTTGTCACAATCTTATCAAAGTAATAAAATATGGCTTTATTTCTATTTATTTATTGAAGAGAAATATGGATATTCGCAAAAGAAACGAGGAAGATATATTATTTGCAAATAATGCAACAACACATAACATTTTTAATAATGAAAAGTATTTTGCTTACTTATCAATCAGAGAAGCAAATGTTAATATAATAATAGGAAATGCAAAAATGATTGAAGACTCTAGAATAGTGAATATAGTATTACCACGACAGTGCAACAACACATATGATTTTTATTAATAAAAAGTATTTTGTTTACTTGTCAATCAGAGAAGCAAATGTTAATACAATAACGGGTAATGCAAACATGATTAAAGGCTCCAGAAGAGTGAATATAGTATTACCACAAGGGACAATAATTACAATTGGTGATGCATTATTTTCATCCAAATCACCAAGAAATTTATTAAGTTTTAAGGATATTCGATCTAACGGATACCATGTTGAAACAACTAATGATGGTAATAAAGAGTATCCAAATATTTCAAAAATGATATTGGGTAAGAAAAGTTTTTTGGAAAAATTACTCGTATTGTCATCCGGATTGTATTATACATATATGAGAATGATTGAATCTCATGTTATTGAAAATAAAAGGTTTGATAACACTTTCAAAGTTTGGCATGATCGGTTGGGCCATCACGGATCAATTATGATGCACATAATATTTGAAACTTCAAGTGGTCATTCCTTGAAAAACCAGAAGATTTTTCAAGCTAATGAGTTGTCTTGTGCTGCATGCTCTCAAGGAAAATTAATTTCTCGTTCGTCATTGAACAAAGTTGGATATGAAAGTCCTAGTTTCTTAGAAAGAATTCAAGGGGATATATGTGAACCAATTCATCCACCATGTGGACCATTTAGATATTTTATGGTTTTAATTGACGCGTCAACTAGATGGTCACACTTGTGCTTGTTATCTAGTCGTAATCTTGCTTTTGCAAGATTACTTGCACAAATATTCCGCCTAAGGGCACATCCTATTGCATAAGTTCATACACAAAATGGTTTAGCCATATATTCTTCTCCTTAACAAAAATGTCGATTTACCTCTACATTTTTTTTCCTTTTAATTCTCTTTTTCTACTTAACCTTACCTTCCACATTAAAATGTATCTTCTCCCTTCTTAAAAGTCTTTATCATACCCATCATTTTTTTCCTTCTTCCTTTTCTCTACGATTGGAACCCACATCAAAATTTTAATCTAAATCTATAACTTGGGTGTTAGGATGCATTCTTGTAGTCAGTGGACACGAGAGGTCTTCCATTCTAGAAGAGATTGTACCACAATCTAGTCAGTTGTTTACTAGCAAGGAAAAAGATATACCAAGACGGGTGGCACGTGAACCGCTTTGGAGTGAATCGGTTAATTCAAATCTTGAAATGAGTCCCACTTTCAAATATATCGAAAAGGAGTTTACTGGTCCAGAGTATGATAGCATATGATGTCGACCACTAGCTTGGGTGTACTAAAGTTTAACATTCACCCTTACTAAGATCGCTTGTAGATAACAAACTTAAAAATTCCAAGTAATGCTTACTATTAAGCCAAAAAAAAGTATTCAAATCTGAAAAATAAAAAAAAAAAACACACACTTATTATAAATTTTAGTGTTGGTATTTTTGTTCTCATGGAGAAAGTATAGGCTTCATACTGTGGCATTGCCACAAAATGAGGGGGTAAAAACGTAAGTTTAGCATCAAAATAAGGAAGTAATCTTATTAAAACGTGGCAGACCATTTGAAACTCTGGAGCAAGAAAGGGAGAGGGAGGGGGTCTAGAATTAGATATCACTACACGGGTATAGTCGTATTGATGGAAAGAAAGATGGCAATGGCGTGACTCTAAAAAGACCAATCATAAAGTCCCTCACTTCTCGTTTTTCCTCACTCGTCTTTTCTAATAAAACCCAAATTCATCTTTTCTTGACCTTACACCATCAGTAAAAGTGTAAAAAGCATTAAGAACTCATGCTTACTATCACTTTGTTATGCAAATATTTGAAAATTGATACAAAGAGCCTTTCTTGGTTTCATAAATTTGAATGCCAATCTCCAATACTGATAATCTCTTACTTTCTCGTCTCTTTTTCATCATTCTCTTTGTTTATATTTTTACCGTCTATAAAGCTTCCCCTTTCTCTCTTCTTTTCAAAAACCCACTTCAATTTCATCTTTTTGTTTTGTATTTCCTGTTTAAATCCTAAACCCATGTGCTATTTTATATAAATTCAAAATTCCATGTCAATTATGCAAAAATCTTGAACACTCATCTCAGATTTGTTGTTAAATTATTGAAATACGATGGTTGGGAGTGGTATATCGGAGGTGATCACTAGTAATGGTTGTTCAAAGATGTATTCAGATATAAATTGTACATTGAATACTAATTCTTCCAGAGATCTTCATCTTCAACTTCCACGTCCTTCTCTTCTTCGTTCTACCTCAAATTCCCCATTTTCTGGTCTTGTTATTTGTGTTACTGGTCTATCCAAAGGTGGTTCAATCTTCTTTGATGAATGTTTTACCTCAAATCATTTTGTTATCTTTGTCTTAGTCCCTCTATTGTACAAATCGCACAGTTTTAATTACTCATGTAATCATATTGATTGTGGTGTTCTTGGACATTTTGACTCCTAGTCATTCAATTTGACATCTTTAAGAGTTTCAATATTTATAGAGAATGAAATAAATGTTTTATGACTTCAATTCAGTTCTTCCTCTTTTGTTTCAACAACTTTAATGTATATGAACATGCCATGTATCTTTGATATTCCTTTTATTACATCACCAGAGAAAAACTTTGACTTTTGCTATAATGAAAGTTAATTTTCAAATTCACGACAAAATGATTGTTGTTATTACTTTCAAATTTAAAACTTCAGTATATGCATAATCGAACACAATCCCTTTTTTTCTTTTTAATTTGCATAATCTTAATTTTGAATGGTGAAATTGATTACTTTGACCACAAAAGTCAACACAAGGATGGTTTTTGGACTTATTGTTCTTGTTTTTCATTACATCTTCCATTCTTGTGTCATGAAGTGCATTCATTATTAATTTATCTGAATTAACGTACTCTTTTGTTTGGTTTCACCTACTTGTCTCACATAAGATTTAGAAGAAGTCTTACTTTGCTGGCCAAATCTTTGACTTTTTATTTGTTTTTCTTCTTGATGTTGACTGACTCACAGAAGCAAGAAAACAAGAAGCAAGAAAACAAGTGATGCATGCAACGGAGAGATTGGGTGGTCAATTCAGTCCCCATTTTCATCCAAAGTGTACACATTTGGTGGTTCAGATATCCTTTTCCACCTTCAGTTTGCTGTTTATCTTATTATAAAATTACTTGAATAACTATGCAAAATCTTAAGGGAAACTATTTTGACTTTCTGTTAAATATTTAACAAAAAGATCACGTGGACCCAAATCAATACTATCAGTTTACATAAAACTCTTTTTGGGAGGGAATATATGTTTGTGTGAGTAACTTAATGAGTATCTACAACTCCCATGAACACAAATCTGATTATGCATCGAAGCACGGAGCCAAAGATGGTCTTTTTATAGTTACACTAGTATGGTTTGTCGATAGTGTAAGAAAAAAAATACACTTGTAATATTTTTTTGTGGTAGTGGGTTGTTGTGTACTTGATTTACATATGCTCCTAGAGCAGGACAATGTGGGTCAGCTCAAGGGTTCCCAAAAGAATAACCTTTTTGCAGAAATTAATGCTACTCTTTTTCTTGTGTTTAGTGAGATTGAACGAGTCATTATATGGGGTTAAGAGTTTTGGAGAGGATTATATGGCGAAATATGATCTAAACAAGATTTCTTGTCTTCCTAATGCCATGGTGGAAAATGTTAAACAATCTAACTTGATGCAAAGATCAAGATTACATATGGAAGAGAAAAAAAGAAGAGGGTCAATTTTTTCGGGTCAAACCGTTTATGTTGAATCTGATGTTCCGGTTGAGCTGAGGAACAAGGTGGTGGAGGCTGCTCGAGAGGAAGGTAGTTTACTAGTGAACGAATGGTTGGTTGGTCAACATGCTACTCATGTGGTATGTGAAGCTTCTTCGGTTGGAAAGTATCTTGGTCAATCCAACAATAATCTTGTTACTGTAAGTTTTAGTAAGTTTTACAGTATCTAAATTAAATGATTGTTGCTGAAATTTTATGAAATATTCACAATCTCATATGTTGTTTTACTAATTAACTAATAGCAACTGATGTACCACAGCCTCTATGGTTTCTGAAGACAGTGAATGAGATGAGGTTGCAGAGGCTTGTCCATTTGTCTGTTGACTTGGCACGCCATCTAGGAATGACGATGCAGAATGTTCCAGGTGGAAATTATCGAAAGGTATAAAATCCCAATTTGATGTATAAACAACAAAAGAGTATTTTGGTTATTTTACATTTTTATCTTTCTTAATTTCAATACAATCTTGCTCAATGTGTGGTGCAGGGGTATGTATTATGTAAGCTTTGCAATAATTGCTTACTTTGCATCAACGTAGAGGATGGGCTATATTTTTTAAATTGCTTCGTGTACCCCATGATTTGATAATTTATGTAAGTGAGAAGGAGGATGGGCTATATTTTTTAAATTGCTTCGTGTACCCCATGATTTGATAATTTATGTAAGTGAGAAGGGTACATATAGTAGCACCCTTTATTTATTTTGTTAGTCTATATTTTTAAAAAATCTATCTTTGACCATCATCTCTAGTGCATAAACTATCTTTTAATAATCAAATATTTACCATCATCTATTTGAAACATTTTATACATCGTCGTGTTTTAAACACACACACACACACACACACACACATATATATATATATATATATATATATATATATATATATATATATATATATATCTTGACATTTTCTGGTCTTGATGAGTTATAGGATTGTGATATGATCCATGATTCTCGAGATATCATTAAATCTAGCCGCAAAAAAGGTCCGGACTCCTGATTAGTGATTATATTCACTAGAGTTTGTTAATTATATATATTTACTTTGGCTTACAGATGAGTTTCTAGCCGGCCAATTTTGAGCTTTCCAAGTCGTTGGAGCTCATAGAGCATGAGTAAGGCAGCAGAATCAAAAGATGTCTTCTTATCTGCACGTGGGTCCCCCTTGAGTTGTATTACACCATAGCCAGGAATAGTGAAGGTGATATGTGACTCGAAGCTATTAAACCCTGTTCTTTTCTCCTCCCCTTCACCAAATTCAACAAGAGATCTGCAAAATCACACTTCATTTTTAAACTCACACCTTAACTTTACTAATGAATATTAGAACAAAGAAGCAAATTTTACTTACTTTGATCTTTGCTCTGATGTTGTAAAATCAGGCATGGGCCACTGCATTTTCTTGCACAGCTCATGAAGTGCAATTCTTGGTCCTCCCTTCTTCATGTTGATACACTCTATCACAGCTATGCCATTCAAACCAACATCAAATTCAAAACCTGTTGTAGATCAAAATCAACAAACATCTATGCTGATTGATTACCTGGAATTTCAACCTTGGAATTAGACTCTAATTCCTCCTCCATTAATGGCTGAGGATCAAACAGAGTTATCTTTGTATCCTTATTAGGACTTAGGTTCAATAGGGTTGTATCATTTTTCTTATTGTTTTCATTATCGATTTCCCCATCTCCATTTTCCTGATTCTTCCTCGAAATCCCTCTTTTCTGTCAAATAAAATCAAATGAAAATTCTCAAAAAGTCAACATTAATCGTAAGCCAGAAATCAGAATGAATAACAGAAAGGAATCCAATTCCAAACCTCGAGCTGTGTTAACAATTGAAGAGCGGCGCCCCTTGCCACTTTCCGGGTCGAACCAGTACCGTTTCCAACCAATAAGGCGTTTTCAGTTGCAACCGTAGCTCCGCAATTACCATATCGCCCTTGATTTGACATGTCTCTTTGGTGAAATAGCCCGTTGAGTCACATAACTCCATCAACTCTCGTAAAGGAGGAAGCTCGAGGTTATGTGGTGTTACTATTGGCGATAATAAAGGCTCAACGATTTCCCAAACTTTATCAAGGTTGAATTTAGTGTCGAGTAATATGGCCCCAGTGATACTCTCAACTAGGTCACCAAGTGCCTATATAATTAATAACAACATAAACATTACTGTTTAATAAAATACACAAATTTGTCCTTACCTTCATGTTAATGGCCTTGAATCCAAGAGTTTATGCAAGAAATGAACTGACCTTAGGGGCTTTCTTGGTTTGGAGAGAGTTTGTATCAGTGGAAGAGGTGGCCACAAACTTCTCATACTCTTCAATCTGAGTTTTGAGAAAGCCAGAGCGATACTGAAGGTGGTGATGAAGGTTGCGTCTCACAGCAGCATATGCAAAATTTTCATTATTAACTGAAGCCGAACGTAGATCCGTTAGTTCTCCAGGATCAATGTCTTTGTGTTTGTTGTACAGATACCAAGTAATCAGTATGTCCAACACCGAGTCCCCAAGAAACTCCAACCTCTAAAAGTATAACATTATTATTATCATGTTGTTGTAATAAAAAGGAATGATATGTGAGTGTAAACCTATTTGGGTGTGAACCTGCCATGAGTAGCTGTACCATCCTTTTTAGTTGACAAATGAATCCCTCCTTTGTTGACAATAAGAACTCAAATGGCAACTTCGTATGTTCACATAATGAACACAATAAATGGTAGCAGTAGTAATTGTAGACTTGTTTAAGTATAAATAGATGCTCTAACCTCAGTTGTAAGACACCACAAACAGAGAGTGTAGTGTGTAATACTTAGAGTGAGTATTAGAGGGTTGTTTCTTTTTCTTGTAATATTGAGCGTGTAAGCTCTTCTCTTTTGTTCTAGTTCTGAATAAAAGTGTGTTTCAACCCCAACAAGTGGTATCAGAGCTTGGTTAAGCTCCGGGGGAAGCATTCTCTGTTTTTTGGTCGAAATTTTTTTGTCTCAGAAACAATTTCGGAGTACACCGTTGGAAAGGTCTCGTTCTGAGGATGCCGAAAATATATTTTTTTTTTGAATTTTTTGACCACCGGAAGGCCTCCAAATCACCGGTCAAAGTTGGTCAAATCTGCCGGAAAAGTCGCCAGAAAAACCAGGGTTCGCCGGAGAAGACGGTACTGTAGCAGCACTGTAGCAGTGACATCAGCAGTGACGTCAGCAGCTGACCAAAGTTCTGGAAATTGCAGTTTAGCCCCTGTTCTTCCGGAAAGTGCAATTTAGCCCCTGTTTTTCAGAAAAAATTGCAATTTTGGTCCCGTTTTTCAGAAAAATTTCAATTTAGCCCCTGTTTTACTTCTATAAAAGTTCTGTTTGCCCCCTGAACTTCTGAAAAGTTCATATTGGTCCCCGTACTTCAAAAAAAAAATATATTCTTACTCGTGTATGCCCAAGTATATGCCAAGAATGACTACACCAACCTCGTCATCTTCTCAAGCCGGAGTTGAAAGTTTTCAAAGGACCGGGAAAGACGGTAGCGTTACGTTACACTATCCAATGCTCACGAAGATGAACTACGCGGTGTGGGCCATAAAAATGCGAGTGAATTTACAAGCACAAGGAGTATGGGATGTAATTAAAAATGCAGAAACGGACGAACGTAAAGATCGGATGGCTCTTGTGGCTATTTATCAAGCAATTCCAGAGGACGTACTTCTGATGTTAGCTGAGAAGGACACAGCTAAAGAAGCATGGGAAACGCTCAAGATGATGCACATGGGAGCCGATCGGGTCAAGGAGGCTAAAGCTCAAACCTTGAGAAGTGACTTCGAGGTGATCCAGATGAAAGACAGTGAATCGGTAGATGATTTTTCCATGAGATTGAATACTATCGTAACCGGTATTCGATCTCTAGGTGAAAAGATTGAAGAAATTACGGTTGTGAAGAAGTTTTTGCGAGCCGTACCGATACGATTTATACAAATCGTAACATCGAATTCGGAGATTTGAAGAATATGACGGTGGAAGAAGTTGTGGGTCGTCTTAAGACCCATGAAGAAAGACTTCGAAGCTATGGAGAAAAAGAAGAAGGACCTTCTCTATTGCTTACACATGCCGAGTGGGCATCTCGTTCGAAGCAAACTGGCGAGAGAAACTCGTCAAACACTTCAAGAGGACGAGGAGGACATGGTAACCGAGGCCGGGGACGAGGCCGAGGTCGTGGACGTGGCCAAGGAGGTGGTCGCGAGTACAATACAAATCGGAATGACCATAATCCTTCTCGAAAGGATAAAAGTAAAATCAAATGCTTTACTTGTGAACAATTTGGTCATTATGCTTCGGAGTGTCCAAACAAGAATCGAGGTGAGGAGGCAAACCTCACTCAAGCCAACGAAGAAGAGCCTATTTTAATGATGGCAACCTCACAAGAATATGCACACAAAAAAGTGTCTCTAAGAGAGAAAATTTGTGTTAATCTTCTTGTATCGGGAGAAAGTCGAGTCGAGTCTGAGGTATGGTATCTCGACAACGGTGCTAGCAATCACATGACTGGAGACCGCTCAAAGTTTCGTGAACTAGATGAGCACGTTACGGGCCATGTGAAATTTGGGGATGGTTCGACCGTCGCTATTTTGGGAAAAGGGTCGATTTTATTCGATAGCAAAAATGGCGAACAAAGACTCCTTAATGAGGTATATTTCATTCCAAGTCTAAAAAACAATATTATTAGTCTTGGACAAATGACGGAGGAAGGGAGTCGGGTCATAATGGATGGGTCGGATCTGAATTTGTTTGACAGAAACAAAACTCTACTTTTGAGAGTTAAACGATCCCCAAACCGGTTATATAAAACTCCTTTAAGGACCGGTAGACCGACTTGTCTTTTAGCAACAAAAGACGAACCGACTTGTCTTTTACCTGTTCAACAAGATTACGAGTTGGGGCCAAGAAGATGATCAGGTTCTTTTCAGATGGTTGGTTTGTAAGAGAAAGTGCAACTTTTTTGATGATCATGACGGCGATCATTGTTTTTCCGGCGCCGGTGTCCAGATGGGCTATGGTATTTCGCCGCATAGCCACCTTAAACACATCCAACTGATACCTAAATTCAGCATTAACAAAAAGAGTATCAAATGAAAATAAAAGTATCAATAAAAAACGTAACAAATCCACATTAATCAAGAGACTTACTCTCTGGGTGTCAAATTAGATTGGGGAATCATCGCGCTTTCCGAACTTATTCTAAAAAAAATCCACATTGATCAGAACAAAGGTAAGTTCATATGTTACCACATTTAGTAATATAAATTGAAGAAACTTGAAACACTTACGTTCTCAGTTTTTTACTACTATTAGCAGAATCATTAGTCATTATTTCAAAGCTTCTCTTCAAAGGGTTTGTTGAGTTTCCTGAAATCTCCGAGGAATGCATGTTTCCGTTGAAGTGATCAGCAACTCACGAACAATATCTGTGTGTTTTTAGTGGGAGACACGATTTCTATGTGTTTGTGTTTTGTCTGGCTTTCTCAAGAAATTTGACAAATGTTGTAGAACTTTTGCCAATTCGTTTGACTCTGAAAACCAGAAGGCTTTTGATTCAGTTTTTTCAGAAAATCGCGTGAGAATATTTTCAGCTGGCGAGATAGAACGACGAATCAATCCACCGTACGCTATTTCTGCGTTTTACGGAGGGTTTTAAAGAAATATTGCATGTAGATTGAGATTTAAAAGAGAGATATTTCTACTAAAGTATACATTGATTAAAAAAAAATATTTTATATATAGACAATTGACATTATAGAAATAATGATCTAATTTTTATTCATTTATCAAAATAATTACTATTTTCAAAATAGGAATTTTGGATTCCCTTTAAATAATATATAATGTCTATTTATTTTTTTGTATAAATTACTCAAAAAATTATCTCTTTCATTTCAAATATAAAATGATTATTTTCATTTTTTTTAAAGTTCATGAAAGACAAATTATTATATTTATATTTTGGATTTGTTAGTCGGATCTAAGACATATTGTTGAAAATTTGATATATATTTTTTCTATCTGAAATCTGAAATTTGAATCCAAAATGTTTTTTTGTTAGAAAATGTATTTTTTTTTATAATTTTATGATTTTTGTGACATAAAGTTAGATTGAAATGCATCATTTTGGACATGATGGTCATTTTGGTAAAATCGAAGAAATTAGATTTTCTCTTATACTCTAAAATTTGAAATGTCATTTTTTGTGATTAGTCCTAAAAAAATTACCAATAACCAATATTACATTTTGTAATAATATCAACAAATCAACTTGTAAAATGCTATCGTTTATAAAGATTTTTTTTTGTTTTCTACAAGACCTAGCATATTCCCATACATGGGGGCATATTCATCCAAAAACACAACTAAGAAGTAAGACCAACAAACCAATTGCTTAATAAATAAAACAATGTTTTAACAAATATTAATAGGCTGATACTTATATTTTAAAAGTTAATTGTACAATTTTAATAATATATATTTCTAATTAAACCTTAAACATTTGACTAATTCATTATTATTTAAAACAACAAGAAAGAAGATGAAAAATGAGCATAATTACATGAAATTTAAGTTTGTGTTCAGGAACCTCTCTAGCCTCCATTATTATCAATTTATCATCAAATGTTGGTGATTTTAGTGTTATCAATATATTTTGGTGTAATTATTATTAATAATGAGATAGACTGAGCTCCATTTACTAACCGAGAAAGAAGGTGCCACGTGCACACTCGGAATGATAAATATAAACTCGAGAATACGGGGGTCCGGAGGCAACGCCCCTGGGTGCAGGGTTCCAAGGGGTTGCGCCCCTAGCAGGGTCCAAGGGGCAGAGCCCCTGGTGGTATGGGGCAGCGCCCCAAAACCTAAGCGGATTTCTATATCAGATATGAGTCCATGCAAATTCCCGCCAAAACTATTAGTGATATCATGATGACGTCATAAGTTTGTTATGTATTAATAACCAACATTTTGCGCCAAAAAGCATGCAACTTTCGTTTAACTATTTTCCATCTTGTATAAGAACATGTTTTATGTTCCAGAAAAGGGTTACACTACATATACTTGAAAATATGTTCATTAAGGTTTTCTCTATCTCTCAAGAACACATCAAACAATGTATTATGTGTTTCACAGTCTGAATTAGGCATGTAATTCAGATTGGTTCATTCTTAGATTATCTCACTTCCGAATTCGTGTCCCCCAGGCAAAAAGAGACGAATTACAAATTTCAAAAAATATTTGAAAACACGAACCTTGAATCTATTCAAATTTGTATTTATTGTTATTTCTGATTCCTTAATTTCTAACATTGGGTAAATAAATAGACTATAGTTAAAGAGCATATGGTTTGAAATTACATTGAGTGACTAACGAGTAAAGTAATGGTTGAGCTAGATTAAGTGGAACGAGTAGAAAAAAAAACATTTTGTAGATGAAAGACAAGATGGAAACTATGTTTAATCTCTTAATAAGAGTGTGGACATCCTATTTTTGTAAGCATATTTCTTTAATGGAAATGTGCCTTTTGGAATTAAAAAATAAAAATAAAAAATAGTATACCGTATTATATGAGCAACTCATGTCTAAATGTCTACATTGGAGATCAATCGTGAAATACTAGTAATATTTTAGGTATCTCAGAGTTTGAACTTTGGACCTTATATATTGTTAGTTTATTAATTTGAAAAAATTGTGCTTTTTGAAGTGTAAACTAGTTGAATAGGTATAATATCCGTAAATTTTAATTCATTCTTTAATTTATGGATATGATACGATTAATGTAGGTAGTTAAAAAGGAAAGATATTCTCTGAAAATGAGAAATACTTTATTGAACTCCATTCTATATAAATGATAAAGGTTTACTCTTGGAATTATGCATGTAGATATATGCAGCTTTCTGGATTGTGCGTCGGGTTGGCTAAAAAGACACCTCATTATGCGTAGTGCACTTTGACTTCAACTTTGACATAACAACTTTTCTTTTGTTTGTACTTGTAACGAATACACCATGCTTAAGTTTTACACAAAAAGTGACCATACAAGTATAGCTATCATAAAGAATCTTTTTGAATCATTATCAAAATCTATTTCAACCAATAATGAATCACTAGATCGATTTTAACAAATAATGAATCAATTATCATTAAATCCTTTTTAAATCATTATTATAATGAATCACTATTAAGTCAATTATCAATAAATACAATTTAAATTATTATTATATCGATTTCAACATATAATGAACCAATTACCATTAAATCACTGTGATTCAATAAAATAGGCTGTTATTATAATAAATCACTGTTAAAATCGATTTCAATAAAGAATGAATCAGTTACGAGCAGTTCTTTCATTCTTGAATTTGTTGAATCAAAATAGTGAAAATATTAAAATCAATTAGAATCTGAATCTCTACTATTTTTTTTTCTTAAATAGCTCCACTTTATTAGGGATGTGATGATGATTATTATAAGAATGTTTTTTTTTGTCAATTGAAAATCAAGTAGGTTACCAAAAGATCCTAATAAATTATTTGACGGTCATATCCTTATTGAATCAATGGTTGCTAACTTGCTATTACTTGTTGAGAACTTTTCTTTTTATGATTTATGGTTTTCACTCAAAACACCCTCACAAGTCACAATCGTTGTTATAATCCGTTAAATTCCATCGCAACTACAAAAGTTCAAAGAAAAGGAAAAAAACACATTGTAAAAAAAAAAAAAAGCCATGTACATACATGCACCTTTTCAAAACGTGCATATATGGGTATTCCTAAAAGGGCTAATGCCATAAAAGCCCTCAAATTTTCAGGAAATGTTCGGTTATATACTAAATCCATTTTTATGTCCACAAAAACCGCACATTTGGGCAAATATTGTCATAATTGCCCTCTTTTCCGATTTTACCCTTCTGTGGCACATGTTTGGTTATAGGATTACAGGATCTTTGGTTTCCTCACTCTTTTTCTTCCATCTCCGGTAAATTAAGGAAGAAAGGGAGGGTTACCACATCCGTTCCTGCCACTTTTAACAGCCACTCCACCTCCTTCTTTCTTCATTGATTGCCACCCAAGCACCCCTCGATCTGTTGCTTCCCCTTTTCTTCGCTCCGACAACGACCAACCATGAAGAACGAGGCACGAAGGGCTCACCGGAGACACCTACTTCCACCTTGCTCCGCCACCATCTCCAGCCCGTTACCGCCACCACCAGTTGCCGACTTTAACCCTTCCTCCCTTTGGTTTGTCGCACATCAACAAAAACCCCCCACCTAGTGTCGTTTTTGTTCTCCTTCTTCTTCTTTTTCTCAGTCAGATCGACAACCGATGGTGCTCTCCATTGGTCGACTGTTGCTACTGTGTCCTTTTTGGTTCGATTGTTGTCGGAGACGAGGACGAGGAGGCCAAGGGGAGCCTGCCGAAGATCGACTCCTTCCCCTCCTCACGATCTGCTTGACCACCGGACTTCACATCATCAACTGCTTCCGTTCGTGGTTCAATTTATCGATCGAACAAAGTCGATGTTCCATCGGGACCGCCTTCCGTTCGTCTTCTCAGATCCACTTCGTCTATGCTTCCTTTCCTCTTGATTGGTGGTCGCTGACGACGAGCGAAGGACCACAAAGGGTCTTCGGAAGTTGCAGACAATGCCGAAGCTTCGTTTCGACATCTCTTAATGCCAAACATCCCCTAACATGTGTTTATTTGTAACCAAACATCCCCTAATGCCATAGAAGGGTAAAATTGGAAAAGAGGGCAATTATGACAATTTTTGCCCAAATATGCGGTTTTTGTGGACATAAAAATGGCCTTAGGATATAACAAAAAAAATTCTTGAAAATTTGAGGGTTTTTATGACATTAGCCCTTCCTAAAATAAAACAAGATATTGAATTTTTATTGTGTGAATGGCTTCTACGAACGGTAACAATAATTTTGGTGATGTATAAATGAAAAAATAATGGAGGAAAAATGTTTTTAAGTTCTTATGAATCTTTAAATTCTTGATAGCATTTAGTGTGTATATATACACACACACACACACACTAGCCGTTTACCCGCCCCAAGTGACGAGTAGAGATCATTTTTCATAAATTAGTTTCTAGAGACGATTAGTTCTTTTATGTAAATAGTTACTACATCTAAATAATTATTAATAAGATTCATGCTAGTAGAAACGAAATCAATAAGAACTAAAAATGAAATGTTGGATTCTTTACAAATGTATATGAACACATGATTGATTGTGCATTATTAATCTAACAACACTTCTTTATACACCATATTTGATGTTTAGATTTCATTGTCGTTGAATTGTTCGTTAGGGTTCACTAATACTTTTGTATTGGCATGTGATATCCTTATTGATAATGTCACATAAAGTT